GGGACCCGATCGAATGCAGCAAGGTAGTGAATAGTTGGTTTAGCCTATTGTTGCTGCACGAGGCGATCGAATGGAGTATAGTTTGTTTAGCCTATTGTTGCTGCACATCAACAACATCTATCACTGCACTTTTGATAGCTGCAAAGTCACTATAACAGATGCAAGATCTATTAATTGAGCATCATTTCATTCGATGTAGATCGCTTTGTTGGCAATGCGTTCAGCTTTCTGTCACTGATTCATTCGATGTAGATCGCTTTATTGGCAATGCGTTCAGCTTTCTGGGAGCCAATACAGAATGTCGACCGTCGTGATTGTAGACCGTGATTATAGAGGATCCGATCGAATGCAGCAACGCAGTGAACTGTTTGTTCAGCCTATTGTTGCTGCACATCATCACCATCTATCACTGCACTTTTGATAGCTGCAAAGTCACTATAACAGATGCAAGGTCTAACATCTATCACTGCACTTTTGATAGCTGCAAAGTCACTATAACAGATGCAAGATCTATTAATTGAGCATCATTTCATTCGATGTAGATCGCTTTGTTGGCAATGCGTTCAGCTTTCTGTCACTGCACTTTTGATAGCAGCAAGGCCACTATAACAGATGCATGATCTATTGCTAATGAGCATCATTTCATTCGATGTAGATCGCTTTGTTGGCAATGCGTTTATTGCTAATGAGCATCATTTCATTTGATGTAGATCGCTTTGTTGGCCATGCGTACAGCTTCTGGGTGCCTATACAGAATGTCGACCGCCGTGATTATAGAGGACCCGATCGAATGCAGCAAGGTAGTGTAGTTTGTTTAGCCTATTGTTGCTGCACATCAACAACATCTATCACTGCACTTTTGATAGCTGCAAAGTCACTATAACAGATGCAAGATCTATTAATTGAGCATCATTTCATTCGATGTAGATCGCTTTGTTGGCAATGCGTTCAGCTTTCTGCGCATCATTTCATTCGATGTAGATCGCTTTGTTGACAATGCGTACAGCTTTCTGGGAGCCAATACAGAATGTCGACCGTCGTGATTGTAGAGGCTTAGCCTATTGTTGCTGCACATCAGCACCATCTATCACTGCACTTTTGATAGCTGCAAAGTCACTATAACAGATGCAAGATCTAACATCTATCACTGCACTTTTGATAGCTGCAAAGTCACTATAACAGATGCAAGATCTATTAATTGAGCATCATTTCATTCGATGTAGATCGCTTTGTTGGCAATGCGTTCAGCTTTCTGGGAGCCAATATAGAATGTCTACCATGAATAGAGGACCCGATCGAATGCAGCAACGCAGTGAACTGTTTGTTCGGCCTATTGTTGCTGCACATCAACACCATCTATCACTGCACTTTTGATAGCTGCAAGGCGCAAGATCTATTGCTAATGAGCATCATTTCATTCGATGGAGATCGCTTTGTTGGCAATCTGCACATCAACACCATCTATCACTGCACTTTTGATAGCTGCAAGGCCACTATAACAGCATTGCTAATGAGCATCATTTCATTCGATGTAGATCGCTTTGTTGGCAATGCGTACAGCTTCTGGTAGCCAATTGTCGACCGTCGTGATTTTAGAGGACCCGATCGAATGCAGCAAGGAAGTGAACGGTTGTTTCAGCCTATTGTTGCTGCACATAAACACCATCTATCACTGCAATTTTGATAGCTGCAAAGTCACTATAACAGATGCAAGATCTATTGCTAATGAGCATCAT